TTCTCAAGATTCGTCAGTGCTTCAAAGCCTGAAGTTCTGCACGAGAGGTTTCTGCAAATCCACGTCAACCATCCATAGGAGCATCTACGCTAAATGACTTCATAACATGACAAATATGAGAATTAGTTTATCAGAAAAATAGCAGTTTTGTAGAAAGACTTCCACAGTTACACGATCACTTCACTGATCTTATAACCTTACTCTGTTCTTCTAATGAGCCAAAAGTTCTCGCCTAACCGCATCTCATGGTTTGTATTTTGCCAGAACCGGAAATTGTCGTTAATTACGCAGCGGTACAAGCTCAGGAAAATTTCGACGCAGATCTTGAGGCTGAACTGTTGCAGAAGGATCTCGCCACGTATCGCTGTGATGAACCTCGCCTCACTCACCTAATGTTAAGTATGAACAATCAACAACGACGAATGGTGAGTCATGACAGAGCATTTGATCTTGTTCAAATCAGTCTAAAAAATCAGTCTGAAATATTCCAAGTTGGCTTCACATTTTAAGTTCATTCCTCATTCGGTTCAAGATCTAATTCCTAGCCTCTTCACCTGCTTTCCAATCGATCGACCAAAAATTTCTGCAAGAGATCAGTAGGAAAAGTACACTAACTGATCATAAATCGAACAGTGAGCCATCATCAAATGAACAGTGCTTATAAACAATGCACTTTTAAACAATATGAAGGGAAACAGAATATTTAATGAGGAGAATTGCCAGGTTTATCTTGCTAATCGATTGCGACCAAAATCTTACTGAAGAATACAATCTCGAGCGTCGCTATTGAAAAGAATCGCTTCACCAAGAAAATTGCTTCGAACAGCGATGAAAATGAATATAATTCTAGTTATTCGTCCCTTACAAGAATAAGTTTGGCAAAGACTTGATTTCTGAAATCCAACGTCTTTGCCGTCGTAATTTCAAAAACGTAATGGTCGCACTATTGGAATCACCAACAACACTGGATGTTAAGCAACTGCGTTATTCTATGAAGGTATGTAATAGTGTCGACAATCTATCGCACTTTTCAAATTTTCCGTCCACATCAACTGAAATCTCGTATAAACAATACATACAATCACTCAATATTGAATTAGCACTGACACACAAATTCATAACTAAATTTGACCCAATACAAAAACATTCAAATTTCATAACGAAAAGGTTCGCCCAAAACGCTCACGATCACACTTATACAAAATCCTGACAACCTTTTAAACTGCAATATGAGAAAGATATTGATAAAATGATGAAAGGAACAATTTCATGCTTTGTGCGACAATCAAGTAGGACTGATGGAATCAGATCCCTTAAATTAGCAAGTGAATACAAGAAACTCCGTGACTGCGCGAAACGTTTTATCAATTTTTCATTATGAATCTTGCCATAAAATGAACTGCTCCCAAACTATCACAACTGAGCCTCTCATCCATTATCACAGAATTAATGCTATAAATACCAATTAATCTTAGGGACTCGGAACTACGGAACGGATTCTGATTGAAATACTCGCGACAAGAAATAACACAGAGCTAGCTGCAATACGAACGGAATATCAGAAAGCTTACGGTCATTCATTGGCGAGTGATGTTATTGGTGACACAAGCGGCTCGTTCCGGCAATTACTCGTTTCTTTACTTCAAGGAAGACGAAGCGAATCAAGCTGGGTAGATTTCTCCAGTGCTTATCAGGTATTTGATTTGCCACCAATCATTTGAATCCGTAGGAGAGATCCTCCACACAAGTGAAAACTTACTTGAATCGATAAGATGATCAGGTGATCGCAAATAACTCGATTATTCATTGAACGACCACTTGAAATTTTGTTTGCAGGAAGCATATAAGCTGTCTGAAGCTTGCAAGAGAAGGGCCAGAAATCTTGACGCCGACTTCAATAGAGTTCTAGTTACACAAAGCTATGTTCAACTGCGAAAGATTTTCGAATATTTTAAGGAAATGGCTGGCTATACCATTGAACAAGCCATAACGGTATCGCATTTCGCAGTTTCACGAAGGAATAATCTAAATTCATCCATCTCATCCACATATTCATTAATTTTCATATTCTAACCGTGTCCACACATTCAACAATATGCTTTTCAAATCACTCGCATTAAGTCGAAGGGAATTTCAGAAATTCTTCAGACGTGATACTCGCAGAGGATTTCTTGCTGTGGTGGCCAGCGCTGTTAATAAACCCAAATTCTTTGCGCAACAATTGTATGCGTCGATGAAGGTAATCAACAAAATATCGCTGATAAACAGTAGAGCATATTTCAATTCCATTCAACTTAAACGTCAAACACGTAGACACGTGGGCTTAAATTTGACTCAAAATTCGCCTGAAGTACTGAACTTCACTCATTATAAAGTTACTGGAGTTTCTCTGGTCTTTTACTAGCTCTGTTTCCATTCAAGAGAGCATGCTGTCATAAAATAATTATAATCCGAGAAACACGACAACAAGCTTTCAAGCTATGTATTGTACAACATATTCAACACTGATATCTCTCGTTGATTAGCCACAACATTCCACAGGGTTTGGGCACTAGAAACAACGACTTGATTCGTCTGATCGTTTCACGGGCTGAGATAGATATGGCGGCTATAAGTGATGAATTCGAAGTGGCATATGGGAAGACCCTTGTGGACTACATTCGTGGCGATACATCCGGTGGTTATCGCGATGCATTAATAGCGATTGTAAAGGGCAATTCCAAGTATCGATACTAAATTTCTACTGGATTCGATGCTGTTCCAAAGGTGATAGCATCTTCCACTGCTCAATTAACTATTTATAATTCAGTTTCAATGGTTTTTACCTTCGTTGATATCAACACTGAATGATCATTTTGCAACTAATATTTGCAAAATAAACTTATGGTTTAATCAATTTCTTCGTTGCACTCAAAACAAATGCACCTTCTCATCGGGCAAATTAAGAGTAATGCACCAGCTAAACGAACATCTGATTGGAATGACTGTGTGACTGAACGCTCATCTGACCGAACAGAGAGCAGTGAATAACATTAATTCAATGAAATTAATCCATAAACGATGTAATTTAACTCGAACGACACGACGCTACATCATTAGACGGGAAATTTATGAACTTAAGTGGACAAATTCATCCAAATTTATGATTCATACATAATTCACGTTTATGAACATTACTTTGCATGAACATTTTATAAACATTATGAATATTCACGTTATATTTATGAAACTTGTAGAAATTCAGTCAACTTAATTCATACAAAAATCAAAAATTCAAAAACTTAATTCATCAACTAATCATCAAATTTAGTGGTGATATTCGCGATCAAAATCAGTCACCTTGCATCTTTCCATACTCATGTCTTCGAATGAAATTTTCACCAGTTGAAGAGCTAATGTGTCTGTTAACTCATTGTGAGATAAATTCTTCAATCAACGCACCAACATATCGAATATTAAACTTCTTTCATCCTCTCAGCTTATTTCTGCATGTCTTACCAATGCCACCTATTGCGCAAATTCCAGCAGAAATAAACTTCTGATATGTTTTTGCAAATTAAACAACCCAGTGGCGAAAATACTTGATGAGCGGTCTTTTGCGAGATTTCAGAAAAATTAAGTAACAAGCAATTATCTATGAAATGCATCCGATACAGCTTTGAATCCTCAGATGTGTGTGCCGCTGACACTAGAACATTACCGGCAAAACTGTTATCAAAATATGCAATTACAATTCCCCTCATGGAGGTATCTTTATTTCGTTAGAATGTCACAAGCTTTTAACAGTGCCCGTTGTTAACTAATGCGATCACGTCAACCGACACTATTACCTCTCATATGAATTGCAGAAATGGTGGGGTTTCACATCTTTACTTCCAAATTCGTGAGCCACTTAGGGATTAGAACTATCATCCCCGTCTGCTTCTATCATTCTGAACAGAACGAACTATTTCATAAGGAATGGGCGGAGAATATAATGTAGATGGGAAACTATAATATAATAATATGGGAAAACAAAGATCATTATTTGCTGAACCATTGATTACATCTAATTTCGCTTATTACTAGTTGATTTTCTCTTGCCCATTCATCCCCGCCTCAACTTAAGTATCAACAACTGGACTGAACAGTATAGATCGAAAACTATCACTACCAGGAAAATGGAATTTAATAGAATGATTGATAATATTTCACCGTTAATTGCCTCACCACATTTCTTTTGCACTACATCAGAACGAACGTCTTCTGCTATCATGTACACATCTCACATTACTTTTCATTAACGATAACTCGACTGATATTCACATTCTAATTCAATCGTAACGAAATAATCTCTTCAACCTAACACGATACTAGGATAGCAAAGGCATTCTTCACTGGCTATAACTTGCAAAAGCTGAAACCAGTACATCTAACAAAACGCCCGTTTGCAGACATTCACAGTAGAGTTAACTGTAAGGTGACTTCTAGACTTCTTGCCACTAGATTTCCATTAAGGTATAATGATAAAGGAGTGGAAATTATCTGAATGCCATTCGTTACAAATGAAAATCGAAAATCCGATGTTAATAATGATAGAGACAAGAATAAGAACATCGGAAATGCGAGGCTAATAAATCCGTTATTAATACTCAAAATACAAAGCGATTCGTAGAAACATTCACTAAAACATTTCAAACATAACATTTTTAATATACATAGAATATATCATTGAATTCAATTTTTTTAATTTTTTCGTATTATTCATTTTTTATATTTTTATATTTTTGTTTTTATTTTTTATTTTTTTATTTTTTATTTTAATTTTTTTATTTTTTATTTTTTTATTTTTTATTTTTACTTTTTATTTTTTATTTTTTCATCTTTATTTTTTCATTTTTTATTTTTATTTTTTATTTTTTCTATATTTTTAGTTTTATTTTTTAAAATTCTAATTAATTTTTAATTATTTCAATATTTGTCGCTGTAGTTCCATTGCCGACTCTCCTCTAATTCTGTTTCAGCGTTCAACTGCATTGACATTGTTTCTTCGTTCGAATAGTTATCAGTTGTTGAGTGCTCATAACCCATCACAATATAGAACTGTGTGCGAATTCGCGTTGAATAAAGAGTTGCCCTTCATGGAGGTTCGACAGTATTAGACGAGGTACCACATGATTTGAGGAATGTTTTCGGGAAGGATTGCTGGCGACAGTCGAACCGCATATCATTTGAGCGTAAGCAAGGGCTTTCGTACCGATAAAAGCTTCGGCAACAACAGACCGATTGACCAATTCTTGATATTCGAGCATTTGAACGTACATTAAATTACTATTCATTGGGCATAATGAGGGAAATTTAGGTTTTAGTGCTCTCATCTTGGCTCGATTCGACTCAGTTGGCGCTTCCAAGTTATGTGGAAGAGTGGACAGTTTCTGGGGGCATATTTCAAATGAACGTGCTGATAATATTGTTGACGACATTGGCATTGATGAATAAACCAATTGTGGTTTTGGTACAATAACTTTCTTCATATGATGCTGATTTGGTCGAATGGAAACTGAGTTTAGGATCAGTAGCATCGACGTTCGTCTTGAGAGCAT